CGTCACCTATTAGTCGAAACCGCCGAAAAATGCAAAAAGAGTGTCATGAAAAAAGGATTATTTCCTTACACCATAACCTAAAAATAATATTATATAAAAAGGCGTTGCTCTTAAGTGTAAAAAATAAGATATTTCATTAAATCCGCCCTAGTGATAAATTATGCCTTGAGTTCATTATTTTGTTTCACTAACATAATTATATCAAAAATGCTGAACTTGAATTCTATAATGTTTATTTGGCAACTCTCCATAAGACTGAAATATGCCAAGACGGAAACTTTTTAAGGAACCGTCAGGTTCCGTCGTAGACAGGTTTCAATGTATTTATAATTAACATATTGGGAAGAGACTCTGGAGGTCAAGAACACGTGTGCAGATTGTACTTCTCCCCCATACGTCACACACATTTCCTATTTTATGACTAAATAAATCAAATCAAATTAAATACATCAAATGAATTTTGTGTATTATTGAAAGCAACTTCAATTACTGACGGTATTAAATGCATTATCATATTTAGGGAATATATTTCAATTTTTTGTTAGATTTGTTGATCCATAATGTACATTTGATGAGTCCTATGTCTAGAGGTGGCCGTTCTGAACGGAAGAGATTTTTGGCTCGCACGGCATCTTCCCGGCAACAGTGAGAGTCCGCGAGCGTTTTTGGGAACACGAGTGTGGTTGGAACAGTTATCATTATTGCAATATATACCAAGGTAGTGAAATTTTCGAAATAAATAATTTTATTTGTGGAAACGTGTCGTGTCTAAACAATAGTGCATATTACAAAGTGGTGGAGTTAGATTATTATTATTATTATTATTATTATTATTATTATTATTATTATTATTATTATTATTATTATTCCACTCTGTAGTACTCCTCAATCCCTAAGATTCTCTCGTCCCAAGTACATTATGCCTTACAACTCTTGAACTTATTTTCATCACTGACCTTAACAATCAGATGCGCAAGGCAGAGAGGCGACGTCCGATCATTTCAGTTCTTTGCTTTCAGTGACCTTATATTTACTGTTCAGTTATTGTTTGACATGTTTCAAGTATTTTCTTGATAATGAAATATTACTTGACGTCAAATACGGAAAATCTAGCATAATTCCCGTTCTTCTTTTGTGCAAAAAATGCTCTATTGGGGATAATTTCCTATTGAAGTTCAAATTCTCGGTTACTTCATAACTAGTGTGTTTGAAATGTCTTTCAAATTCATCGTCGTTTCTACAATTTTTTAAGTTTCTTATTTTTTATTTATTCATTTTCAAAAAAAAAAAAAATTGCTAATCCTTCAGAGTTACCCACCGTAATCGGCCAGTGGCTTCAACCACCGCCCCAACCTCCACGTCATTCCTACAATCACCATAGCAGCCACCACCATCTGATCCCCAACGTCATCGTGTTCGCTGCAGCTAAGACCGCCACCGCTCACTGATAACATCGCCATTGTGACTTCTTATCGCTGCCCGGCCCTCCACACAACGCCGGCCGTAGATATCACAGTAAATCTGGACGCGGTGATGAAATCGATTAATCAAGCGGTGTTATTCAAGGACCGTTGGAGAGTCCCTAGCCTTCGCTAAGTGAAGAAATAAGGTTCTCGAATGAACTGCATCAGACGAGATTGTTCTGGAAGGCAACATTCACATTCCAAACAGTAAACATGACTCACGAAGGCACGAAGGTACAGGTTAATGGAATTTCCTAACTACGAGAAAAAACAGACCATTTAAATACACCCTTCTATTTAGTGTTTCATCGTATTAAATACCTACTCGTGATTTCATTTTTCTGTTTTTATGATGGATTCCGAGAAGTGTCTTTTCATTAACTCGGCTCAGAAGAGATTCACAAGACATGTGAATTATAAATCTCCTATACAAAACGTCCTTGAGAACCAGTGTTGTAGCATGACCTCCAGCGAGAACATTTTCAGATACAGAATCCCAAAACTACTTCTCAGTGTATATTTTAAGGCTAAAGTCCAAGTCTGGCTAATTCCCGAATCCGACGGTTAATGTTCACACTATCAATTAATGGAGCTGCAACAGTAGACACTTTCTCCCATAATTGTAACTGCTCGCATTATTTCCAGCCCATAATACAGGCAAGCAAAGATAATTTCACATATAAATTGAACATCCAAAACTAAAGGCCATCCAATATATCGCATCATGAATGCATTTGAACAACGATATCATTACATTATGGATATCAGTATATACATTCTTCCCGACTTTAATAAATTTGAATACATCATTTTATTGAACATAGAGAACACTGTACCGCTGATGTTAATTAAAGAAAACTGCCTTATCTTATCTTTTCCATCTTGACGCCATTCAACAATGAACTTCTGAAATATCCATCACTGCATTATTGCCCAAGGCAGCGTAAGGTGGTAAAATAAAATTATCGTAATAAAAGTTCGTACAAATTTCTGGTTCTTAATTTTTTTGTTACATTTAAATCGTATTTTCAAGAGAGCAAATGTAATTGGACTAATTTCAATTCAAGTTTGCGGATTGGTTGAAAGAAAATACATCAATACATTGAGAATACAAATTGTAGAATAGAGTAAAAATCATTTTAATATTGGGATTTTATTATAGAAAATTAATAAATTTAGTAAAATAAATTATAATAAAAATTAATTATTGTTCATATCCTTTTGAAACATCGCTGATCGAAGATTATTCTCGTGGGCCGTATTTGGACACCTGTATATATTTCGTTAATTTCAGGCAGAAATTTCGCCAAAACTACTAGTTTTTTAAACAAATACACATTAACTTTTTTAAATGAAATAATTTTTTAAACATATTTTGTTTAAACAAAATTTTCTATCCGCCATTTTGTATCCTCAAATGTGGAGTTTTTGCAATTTTCCAAAAATAAGGAGAGGTCATCGAAAAAGAGACTTGCGCTATTCTTTTAAACGTCTCTTCTTTTATCCGTAGTGATAAAGAAAATATTTCGAACAGTTTTTTGAGATTTTTTTTAGAAATTGCATAAATTTCAAGCACAAGTTAACGCAAAAACTACTTGTTTTTTCAAAACATTGTACAAGGCATGAAGAGCTGATGTTCTACAACAGACCTTGGGTGAGTAAAAAATTTATATCGTAAATTTTCTAAATTTGAAATGTTAAGTTTTTGAAATTTTCAAAAAAATGGCAAGATAGACGAAAATTCTCGGCTATTCAGTGCAGTGACTGCCCTGAGGAAGCCTGCGACATGCTAGGCGAAACGTCGGCACCCCAGCCAAAGACGCTGCGTCTCCCGGATAGCCGAGAATTTTGGATTCGAGCCGCGGAAGCTTACGTATACAAGATAGACGAAAATTGAACAAGCAACATATTTTTTAACTGTCCTTTACTATATGAAGAGAATATTTAAAGAAATATTTGTGGCGGTTTATGCAAAAAAAAAAAAAAAGGTTTTTTAATTGTCTGTTTCGGGCAATATTACACGAAAACTTCTTATATTTTCGAAATATTGAACTTGCTTTATTTCAAGACCTCTCTTTAAGGAACAGATTTTATTAAGGGAGAAATCTTTATCTCCAATATTATAATTGCAGAATGACGCCGAAAAAAGTTAGAAATGTTTGCAATTTTCGAAAACTCAGGAATTTCAACGAAAATGATACCTGCACAATTATGTTCAGCGTTCTTTACGCCATTCGATAACAAAATTGAATAAAATGAATTTTGTGCCATTTTTTTTGAAAAGTTTAAAAGTGTCCGAGGTGCTTCATAAAAAGTACCCACCAAAATTAAAATATCGGCCTCAAATTCTAGAGGCTACGACATCTGCCAGCTCGATTGTGGAATATTACTTTTGGAGAAAATCAACTGATCGGATTAGTCACTAGCGTTTACTATGGACAGACGGACGTTTTGCCGTCAATCTATTTTTCGGTATCAAATACGGATTCAGCAGGAAGAATATAAAATACATTACTTTTAATCAAAAAGTAACTCTCATTTACCATGTTAAATAGATATAAACCATTAAAAACTATAACAATTACTGGGAAAAATTATAATCGTGTTATTGAAATAGAAAAATAAATAAAAATAAATATGCAGGATATAGAGAAAAAATAATCACGAATAAAAATTATTAGTTGATTTAATCTCAATATTTTTATAGAACTGTTTATCGTACGGTATTATTTACTTATGTTAATTGTTTAAATGTTAAATTTATTGCAAAGATTGATATAATAATATGTGAAATTAGTTTGTTCCAATGAAAAATGTTGAAGGCTAAAGCAATTTATTCGTTAGTTCTATTCAACATTGAAGTGAAATTGGGTGGTAGTCGAAACTTCGGTCTGAAATGTTAGTATAAAGTAGTGACCCTAAGGCGGCTCAGTTCTGAAGTGTTGTGAATGAACATCTTTTCAAAATCAATACGTGGGACCTACGCTGTTTCTGATTCATTTACCAATGTGAGTAAATAAATTTCGGACTTTTCCCCACACGATTATCATTAAACATCTTAGAGTCTATGAAATTTTATTCCGCTGTATTTTTTTTACAACACTCAAGTTGTACACGTCTTCGGCCTATGTAATTAATATAATACATCCGGAGCCAGTCCAGATAATAATTTCTAAATATCTTATACTTTTTTAATTAATTAAAGCGTACCATTCTCATTTGAACTAGGGGGGAAATGCCCTCGTTCCCGCCACCCGATCTTCGCATTCATTCATCGATCTCTCGACATCGGAGTCGATTCGTTAAGAGATAAGGCTCTTTTTACATAATGCGCTAAAATGTAATAGTTCGATTCACTCAAGTGAGATGGCGTGACAGTAGAATTGAGTCTGCTTTGTTATATACTGTAGTATGAAAGTTGCGTCCCCGTTGTATTGTTGCACAGAGAAGGAGCGATATTAGGAGTTGAATGTGTTCTTGCGACTGATCATCGACAAGGAACCCATCAAGAGGGACTGTTAGGAAGAAAATGTGCAGATGGTAGAGTTAGTGCAAATTAGCAGTCCGGTTAACTGTGGTTGTGGTTCGAAGTTTAAATTTAAGTCCATTGACATTGTTTGTTTGGGTATAATGAGTGATACCTTTCAGATTGGACAACGTGTATTCGCAAAGGTTCGTGGGCATCCTCCGTGGCCTGGAAGGATTGCAAACATTGTAGAACAACGTACTAAATATGGGAAGTACCTCGTACATTTTTTTGGAACAGACGAAGAAGCATTTTGTACCGGCGATAAAGTGTATAAATATGAGGAATACAAAACTATTTATGGAAAACCTCGCAAAAGAAGAGCATTCAACCTGGCTTTAATTGAAATTGAAAACGCTGTTGATCACACAACTTCCATTAGCGCTTCTTGTGTTCTAAAAGACCACACCTACCAGATCTCCCAGCAGACGGATATTATAAACAAACTGCCAAATCATGAGAGTGTATTACTCCAACAGGGTAGTAAGGAGGCAAATGATGCGAGTCCAGAATCTTCTAACTCAACAACACTTTGCTCTACTGGAAATGATACTCCACAGCCGTTAATGGATATGGACAACACCAGAATAGAAAAGAACATGAGCAAAGCTCAGTCAGCAAGGCAAAATCTTAGAAGGAAAAATAAAATAATCCCAGAATTAGAAATATTTGATTTTAAAATGATGAGTGTGCAGAATGAGACTGAAAAAACAAATTTTCCAAAAGAAACCAAACCAAATGTTAAAAAAAAGAAATCTCTAACAAGAACTGTCAAAAAGGGAAGAAATAATAAGAGTGCTAAAACATCTGTACAAAATTCTTTTACTAAGGAAGATGTATTTAAAATTAATGAAACCTCTTGTAGATATAAAGAAACTTCAATGTTGACAGATGAATTAGAAAGTTACAAAACACAGACTATAATGCTAGAAATTGAATATCAGCTTCGCAGTAATCTTTTTAAAAGTGAACCCAATATAACTACTGGTTTAAATGCTCTGTATGAGTTAACAAACCTTGACATAAAACCTTTAATGTTAAAGAAGCATCCTCAGATTGTATGGACCATACATAATTTAATGAAATTCAATGAAAGTTATTGTTTATTGAATTTAACTAATTATCAGATGAGCGAGTTTAATTTCAAAGCATTTGAAATAAGAAAGTTGAGTGAAATGGTGTATGAAAAATTCAAATCCATGTTTGTTGTACCAGATGAGTGTACCTTCTGGGATTTTTTTTCTAGAGAAATTTCAAAATTTAGGAATTTGACAGAAAATTTGACAGTGCATGAGGTATGCACTTTACAGACAGATCCTTCTTGCAGTGACAAGGATGCAGAGGTAGATACCATGGGAAATGATTATTACGGTGAGCCAATTTCACATTACAAAGAATGTGTACCAGAACCTACATTTAATCCAATTAAAGAAGAAATAGTTAATCTTGGATATTTATCATTATTTGAAAATGATTCTCAAGTAGTTAAATATGAACATTCAATGCAAAATGCCGCAGGCAATCACAAAGAAGAAATATTTGCTACAGTAAAAACAGAACCAAATGTTGATGAATTTGAGTCAGAAGAAGATTGGTTGAAGTATGTATGACTTCATCGATGAGAAGATTTGTAAGAAGTGCTGTTTCTTGTGAACAAAAGTATCAAATTTGAATATCATAATGATGTAGATTATATTATACAGTAAATACAGTATTCAAGGAGAACATACATAAACATATTACACTAGCTGTTAATTCAGAAGGTGTTAAGGATGTGATATTTTTCCACAAGTTTGTCCTATATTATATGTTATTGTGAGACAATAAAAACTAATATTGTTCTGTTAAGGCAGTTTTACTTCATATTGCAATAAGAGTAAACTAACCCTAAGTGATAATTGTGCTGCAGCACATATCCTTCAGCCACGTAAAGATGTGTGAAAATTATAATTAAAATTTCGTGAGGTAAAAAATTAGATAAATGTATATATTTAGTAAAACAAAAAATAATTTATACTCACAATTTTATTTTAATTGATTTTCTCTTATACACACATTTGGTTCTAATTGATTAAAAAAATGTTCTAGTTCGATTAAAATAATTTAAATAGATAAGTATATCTTAAATTTTAAAATAGAAAATTTTTTGTAAGTTAGGAATAAACTATTTTATATGAAGGAAAAAATATACAAGGGGAGGGATGCTTCTATATAAATAACTCAAGAGACTGAAATTCATTAAGTTAGCACTAAAAGGATAAGCAAATGTGGTGGAAAAGCAGTATTAGCTAGTTTTTGTACTAGAATTTACAGAAAACAGTTTGCTCTTAAGAATGAAATATGACTGTTCACTTTTATATATTGACTGTTATGAACAAATATAATTATTAATTTTTTTTCTTCTTCTGTACTTCAAGGATTAGGTGGCTGCCTGTTCTGTCTTCACATATCAAACCATCTTCTGAAGTCTTCCTACACTCCTCCTTCCTGTTGGGTTGTACTGCAACACTTGTTTACGTAGCCTCTTGTTCTCCATTCTTTCTAAATAGTTTTTTCAGTCTTGTTTATATAGTTGTATACAATCATTTAAACTAAATATATTTAATTATTTTCTTATGTCTTCATTTCTTTGTTTATCTAGCAAGGTACAACCTTTTACTCTCTTCAAATTTCATCTCTGTAGCTTGAATATTTATATTTTCTTTTTGAGAAAGAATCCAATTTTACTCCGATGTAGGAGTACTGGTATTGCCATTGTTTTTTTAGAATTTAGACATTGTATCTTTTCTAGTCTTATTTTTTAATGTTGTGTGTAGCATGCCGAATATATATTGGAACTTGTTCAATGTATTTGTTATATCTTGGCTCCGGTCGTAACTTAAATCACATCCCAGATAATTGAAATGTGAGATTTGTTCGATTGTTTGGTTTCCCAGGCACATCTTTGTTCTAATTGGATAAACACTTTTAAAAGTAATGATCTTGGTTTTTTGTTTTGATATTTTCAAGTTATAATTTTTACACATTAAATTTAATTGGTGCAGAGCCTTTGGAGATCATTTTCCTTTCATAGATAATAACTTGGTCATCAGCAAATAGCAGAGTAATGCTATTTCCGTTCAATCTGATCCCTTGTTATACTTTTAATTTCCGTTCTCTAAGAATTTTGTCTATATAGATGTTAAATAATATTGGGGAAAGGCTATAACCTTGTTTTAATCTTTGGTTATTATTTAATGTTTGTGACTGATGCCAATTTATTTTTATATGGATTTTTGTAGTTTCTATAGACTCTTAGCTATGTTTATTAAATGTTTTGGAAACTCCCTCTATCCATTATGGCTCATAATCTTCTCCTGTTTACTTTATCAAAGGCTTTTTCAAAATCAATTAATGAAATGAGCGTATCTGAATTAAACCATATATAATTCTAACTATTAATTAAAAAATAATTATTAATTAATAGTTATAATTATAACATTATGCTATAAATTTGATATGCAATTTGTTACAATAAATATTGTGTTGCTTAAGAGGGTCCAATAATGGCTCCCCATATTAATTTTTGTCAGAAGTTAGATGTACTTGATATAAAATTTTGAGTATCATTCTCAGATGTGCACATATTCTATAAACCACTTGTTAAGTTGAGTACAACATATATCTGCTATTCTGAAGTCTTCATCAGACTAGTATCCTATACTGAAATAGGAATTTTGTGCACATGTACACAGACTTCATTCAATTATGAGTTAAGACTGAAATTATTTTATACAAATCCAACTTGGGTTGTTCAGAAACATGTTCTTGTCCAACTTAATTATCACAATTAAATTTGTTTAATGGCTTTAATTCAATCTCACTCAGTATTACTCTGCATCAATAAATTCATGTTTAAAACATTTATTTAGCAATTTCACATGTCACACATTTTAACTTTACTGAACAAATAGCACCACTTTTGTTTGTTTTTTTGCCTTAATTTTTTAACATAGATTTATTAGCCAATTGCAAAGTAAATTTAGCAGTTTTGACCAAGTGGGTTATTTATTTTCTATAATCATAATGTTTTCTTATGTTTCTATTCTTTTTAGATTTCATTTTTCTACTGTGGATGTGGTGCTTCTTATTTTTGTTCAGGAAAAGATGTTTAAATATTTTATTATTAAAATAACTTGAAAAACTAAAGTGTATGTGCATTCAATGAACTACTGAAATTGTTATTTCGCGTCAATGGCCATGGTCATTAGTAAGGGGCAGATTTAATTAAATGTAATTTTTTTCCTTTCCGCTTTAGAACAATACCCTTTAGTACAGAAATTCATTTGATGTTAAGACAAAACGAAATTACCCATTTTAACGTAATTTTTTGTTGTATTTTCGCATATTACTATTAAGTAATTTTTTACACATAATTTTATAACATAATTTTTAAAGCACTTTTCGCTGATTTCCACGTTTTTAATATTATTTTAATGGTACTTGCTTCAATATTTACGAGGTGCAACAAATATTCACCACAAAATTCCTGAGCAGCCTCTTCAATTTCTTCGCTCATATTGTAATGTCAGCCATTGTGACAACTACGTAATTAATGCCTATCGGCGCCATTGTCAATTCGGCCGATTCCGTGATAAATAAAGGGAAAGGTTTTTGTTTTTTACCCAACAGCTTGAGTTGTTCATTTCAGGCTTTCATTTCATTTTTTTACGTAATTTTTCTTTGTTTTTAGGGCATTTTTAAAGCATTTTATTGATCATTTTTTGCAATGTTTTAGGTAATCAAAATCCGCCCCAAATCATTAGTCTCGTGACTATAGTGAATGTTTTTATAATGGGAGATGGTGTCCTTCCCCCGCTTGGATGGTGAGACCGGCGCCGACCCACATGTCGGCCTTCGGCTTACGGGGCTTTCCTCAAACAGTTATCTCCCACCAGCGGGGCACCCCCTAAGGAGGACAAGCTATAATCTCCCGACATATGTTGTGGTGTAGAACGTGTAATTGTGTGTGTAAGTAAGACGTGAGGATAGGACAAGGAAGAGGAAAGAAAGATCGTGCGCGGTCCGTGAGTCGTTTGTTAGGGTACTGTTCCAGAATTCGCCTGGTGTTGATTCGGAGAAACAATTGAAAAATACCGACCAGAGTAGCCGACTCACAATTCTCCTCCAGAAAGCGGCTGAATTCAATCTAGCTATGTAGTTAGTCACGAAAATCCTGCCACTGTCAGAACTTGAACCCTAGGCCTTCCCGGTCAGAGACGCAATGACTTCAGTTTATGCCTTGAGATACCTCATCCTGTGAAAGTAGTCAAAAACAGATTAATTGCATAAAAGAAATGCTTGTTTATGGTGAATCGTTACCATGAAAATCTGTTTTAGTTACGTTCATTTTCTATTTGCAATTAAGGAAATTGTTTAAAAATAAATTTTGTAATTAATATAATTTATTTTATTTCCATGACTTTTCATCACGCGTGAATTTAAAGTTAATTCCGGGTTGTGGTAAGCTGTATTCTTGAAATTTTTTATGCTTCCGGCTCAAGCCTACAAAATGGAACTTTTTTCAATATAATGTGTAACTGTACCTTTTTATAGATTGCATCATCCAATATCATTCACAGACATGCAAGTGAACTTTGGTGGTGGATTCCAGAACATCCAAGATTGTTTTTGATACCCTTTTCCAAGTTATATTTGTCATCAACAATTGATATTGATTGGTCTAGCCGCAATATGGCGGTGAATTCTACTGGATGGTTGCTCTCATCGATAGTTTTCAAATGTTTCTTCACTTTTTACCAGACAAATGTCGGTAAGGTCGAATAGCTGTACTCTAACAAACGGGCCATCGACCGCACGCTCTTTCCTTCCTCTTCCCTCACCTATCCTCTCCCCTTACATACACATACATAGACACACTTACATGTACAACACTACCACACATGACGGACGTTTGAGCTGGTCACGACTGCATGTGCCCTGCTGGAGGGAGATACCGTGAGAGGGAGATCATCCTCAAACCAACATAGGCTAATCTTACCATCCAGTGGGAAGAAAACACCGCCAACTCTCGGGAAAAGGGATCACTCCCGGGACATTCACTGTACTAACGGGACTAATAACAACAACAGTTTTTACTAGGAAACATTAATAAATCAATCGAGCAATTCGACAATTGATAAAAAGATGCATAGCTTCTTGGTAAATAAACTATAATGCAATTTTACCCTTTTTATTTTCCTTTTCTTGAAAAATCCTGTAGATGTATTTTCAGCCGGATAAAAAAAAATAATAAAATTATCCGTCATATTCCATTCAACATTTTGATTTTTTGATTTGAAAATTAGTTTTTTCTCCAAAAACCTAAACTCCTTTCTTACACAAGTTTCAGACATTTTTAAATAATTTTGGATTTTTTAAATTGTTATATTCGTTACTTACCGACTAGTTACTCAGTTCGCAAAGGTGTGCGGACCTGCACCGTCTCAGCTCTAAAGCAAATTTGTATACTGCCATGGATGATAGCGAGTGTAATATGGCACCATTGGCCCCACCAACCTTCCCATGTATCCTCATTCTTCCACTTCCGGATAGCGACGAGAAATACTCT